ATCCCAGGCCCTCAACACACACGTCAACAGATTGTCACACATCCCGACCGCCACTTTGGCCAACGTATTGGCGTCGATGGGCGCCACCACTCCAACAGTGGCCCACTTTCGGAGCTCAATGTGAAGCACGGGATCTCCCATTTGTGACCATTGGCTCCATTCGTCGCAATCCCTTAAGATCTCAAACTCAGCGCTCAGTTGTTTGTAGTCATAGAAATGAATCGCCGGTTCAGTTGTGACCACTTTTATGGCCACTAATCGTCTCTCGCTCTCAGCGCACAGTTGTCTCAATTGCGATAAGAGTTGCGGTAATTTGATGGCCGCCACAGAACCGCATACCATCACCAATACGTTGATTGACTCTTTGGGTTCATTGGATCCGATGGTCGCGTCGGACGACGACATTGTCTTTAATGAGAGATTAAAATTAATTCAATAATTAAATGAAAACTTTTGTTTCGGGAGAAAAACCATTGAAAAGATTCAAATGAAGCGCTGTTTGCGACCAATGAGTGGTGTATTGGATGTGATGACAGCAACCGGTGATTGGTTTAAGTGAAAGACCAATCACTTGCTTAACCGAAGATGTCTTCAAAGAGGTCTCGAAGTGATAAACAATTAAATTGAATGACAATTAAATACAATAAAATTTCACTATTAAATTATCAAAACATATGGCAATTAGTTTTGCAGACATTTAGTATACGTTTATGGCGTGAAAAGTGAACAAAACATTTGCCAATACTGTACTCATACAAACAAACATGAAAGCCATTCACATATAACGTAACCATTGGTGACATTCATAGAAATGCATTGAAAAGAGTGTTTCACTGATTGAGTGAACAATAGATTGAGTTTTGATTACAATTTATCGGTCATAACATCTGATCCATTGATTGCAGTGATCGCACGGTTTGGCCGCAAATGGTTTAGTGATTGACAAGCATTTGAGCAGACAATCAACACAATCAACACAAGCATCACTTCCTTCGGTCGATTGAGTGGACAATTGGTTTGTGTCGCAAACAATGTCCAAACGCGCCAACGATAGCCAATTGCAAGACAAGCATCAGCTGAAGACACCGAAAATGGAGTTAGAGTTGTCCGAAGACATGATGGATGAGGACATCGCCGGTCTGGACGACGACGAGGACGACGATGAAGATGACGAAGACATGGAGGGCGTCATCACCATTGAGGGCATCGAATTGGACGCCAGTGTCGACCGCGTGAAGGACTGTCTGAAGCAGAATAAGATCGAAGTGGAGGACATCGATGACTATGACTTCTATCTGCAAGACCTGCGTCTGGAGGGCCAGCGATCGATCATAAGTCAGTGCAATCTCGTGGAGGGCGCCAAACAACAGACCCGTCTCATCAACATTAAGCTCGTCTTCGACCCCGACTTCAAACGCGTCAACATTTTAGACATTCTTAAACCGCCCGAAACCACAGCCAAGACGTCGGCCAACACTTCCGGCGGCCACTCGAACGCCAACACCAATAACGGCTTCAATGCCAACAGTAATAACAATAATGTGAATCAAAACTCATTGCAGAGCCCGTCATCGCAGGCGACCAAACCATTGCTGCAACCGAAACGACTGATCGGTGGCATCAAAACCAATCAGAACATCGAGGGTCAGGGCCTGCCTTCGCCGGGCAACCGAACCGGTAATAACGGTCAGATCCAGTTGTGGCAGTTCTTACTGGAACTGCTGACAGACGCCGATCACAGGGATTGCATCCAATGGATCGGAAGCGAAGGTACGTGTGTTTTGCGAATAGCGGTCATACCGTATGATTGATTGATTGTATTGTTGACGTGTAGGTGAGTTCAAGTTGAATAACCCGGAAGTGGTGGCCCAGTTGTGGGGTCTCCGCAAGAATAAGCCGACGATGAACTACGAGAAGCTGTCGCGAGCGCTCAGGTATTACTATGACGGAGATATGATCGCCAAAGTGCACGGCAAGCGCTTCGTCTATAAGTTTGTCTGCGATCTGAAGTCACTCATTGGTTACGACGCCCAAGAACTCGATCGACTCGTATGTCAGACACAACACAAGAGGGTTAACGTCTGATAATATCATTTCATTCATTTATTTGGCATTTTTTCTCTTTTTTTGTATTAATTTAATGACAAAAATATTTTTATGATTTTCTACTCATTTGATTTGTAAATTATATATAATTTTATGTTTGGATTTATTGATTAGCATTTATGTGTCTTATATTATTAATGAGTTAATTATTTATTCATTAAATCGTGTGCTTTAAGTGTTTATTAAAATAATAGTGTTATATATAGTGTGGGTTCACTCCATCGTTACTTTGCGTAACTAATGCATCGATCGATCGATAATTGAGTGTTTGTTTGCGGAGTCGGCTATCCTTTCGAGACATTTCTATTATATATAAACTTATAATAAATGCTTTGCTTATAATTTATTGTTATTCCATATGTTATTTATAGTAACTTAACATCAAATAAATTTTTCTTAATATATTTAATTTCAAATGGATTTATATTTCTACTCTAATCTCTTCGTTCATTCAAACATGAAATTGTTTTTTACATTTGAATGAATTACGAAAACAATATGAATTGTCGATACATTACAATATGTGGTGATTCTGAGCACAATTTTAAATAAAAATGTTTAATTAAATTAACTTTTAATGTCATCTAATGTTTGAATGAAACGAAATTCTTATAAGTGATGAATTAAAAGCAAATACAATGAAGAAAACACAATAACTATTAAATTTGACGAATAAAGTGAAGAATAAAATATTTTGTTAAAAATGGCGATCAATGATAAGTCAAAGATATTGATAGACGAGAGTCTGGAGGAGAACAGCGGCGACGACGACGAGGAAGAGGTGAACGATGAGCACCAAAAGCCATTGATTGACTCGGAATCGGGTCAGACTGAGAGTGTTATTCCGCTATCAATCGGCAAAATTAAAATTTTTAAGCCTCGAAGACGTAAACGATTTCTACTTAAAAAATATTTCAAACTTTGTTCCGCTCTTTTGGTGATAATCGTAATTACCGTTTATTTGCTTCGTTTGAGAGACTCGTTATATCTGTCATCCAATTCTTTGATGTCGAGTAAAGGCAGTTGTGATCGTTTAGAGACCACTTCGGTCTGGAATCAAACATTTCCAATGCTTACCATTGAATCCGCTCTAAGACTTGTTGATATAAACAATGATACAATTCTTGATGTCATCGTCCCATTCGGAACCGGTATGTCTGCCACTCTTCAGTATTACCAATATTATAGCTGTTATGTTATACTTATTAAATGTTCAACAATTATATCATTATTGCCATTTATACTTAAATAATAAATAATATTTGCCTTCATGAAATTATTTCGAATTTGTTAATTATTGAGATAATTAAAATTTATAAATATCTTTATTTACAGTATAATATTTTTTGACAATGTTAAATAAATAATTAAAATTTATTTATATTTTCACTGTTTTAGTGATTAATTTTTATTTTTTCCGATTCATTGCAATCGTTGCACAAAATA